GCATGTTCGTGATTTTAAATTGTGTAATAATTGTCTAAGGACTGGGCATAGCAAGTCTAAATGTCAATTAAAAGGTTGTTGTCGTTTTTGCAAAGAGAAAGACAATACGTTGCTGCATGTAGATTCTGACGGAACCGGTTTGTTAGAAAACACTCAGCCTTCTACGTCCTTGCCTATTTCTCTCACAGCTGTGACTACGGATCAGGTTTTATTATGTACCGCGGTTATTAACGTTATCGTAGATAATAAGATCCACACGCTGAGAGCTATTTTAGACACCGGTAGTCAGTCATCGTTTATGACATACAAGTGTAAACAAAGGTTAGGGTTGAGTGGTGAAACAGTTAATTCATTAAATATTACTGGTATTAATGCTCGTAGCTGCGGTGTGACTGAGCGTTGTATTGTTGAATTAAAGTCGAAAGTTAACAGTTTTAGTTTTAGTGTTAATTGTTTGTTGATACCACAAATTACTGGCATGTTGCCAAATTACCAAATAGATATCTCAAATTTAAGGTTACCTCCGAATATTAAACTCGCAGATCCTAATTTTTTCCGTCCATCTGAAATTGATGCGTTATTAGGTGCTGACGTATATTGGGACCTTATCGAGCCAAATACCATAAAGTTAGGTAAACACCTCCCTGTTCTTCAGAACTCTAAATTAGGATGGTTAGTGGCCGGCCCAATAACAAATCAGTCTATACCTTATTCAAAGCAATTGCATTGTAATTTTTCTCAGATCATACGTGACGATTTAGAAAAATTTTGGCTAATCGATGATTTACCCACGGACACAAAAACGTATTCTGTAGAGGAACGTTTATGTGAATCGAATTTCTTAGAAACTTATTCGCGTTTGCCTAACGGCCGATTTTCCGTACAAATGCCTTTGAAAGAAGTTCCTGAAGATGCGCTTCGGGACAATTACTTTACTGCAAAATCTTGTTTACAAAGTTTAGAAAAGAGATTTGCTAAGTATCCAGATTTAAAGGAAAATTATCGTAAGTTTATACAAGAGTACACTGATTTAGGGCATCTAACTCCAATCCAAAAACCTAAATTCGGGTATTACTTACCACATCACGCCGTATTTCGCGAAAAAAGTGAAACTACCAAATTGAGGGTTGTATTTAACGCTTCTTCAAAAACTAGTTCCGGTAAGTCTCTGAATGACATACAAATGGTTGGCCCTGTAGTGCAGTGTGATTTAATTTCAATTTTACTTCGTTTTCGGCAACACAAGTTTATTCTTCTCGGCGATATAGAGAAAATGTACCGACAGATTGAAATTGATACGAAACAGCGGCATTTGCAATTAATATTATGGCGTAGCGATGATAACAAACCGGTTCAAGTCATGCGTCTCAATACAGTTACTTACGGCACGGCGTCCGCTCCATTCATAAGTACGCGTTGTTTACAACAATTAGCGCACGAGTGCAAGGATAGCATAATAGCTAATGTCATCGAAAATGATTTTTATGTCGATGACCTTAATACAGGGTGCGACACAGTAGCAGAATTAAAGCACATCGCAACGGGCGTGGTTAAGGTTTTAGATTCTGCATGTATGCCGTTGCGCAAGTTTCGTTCTAACTACCCAGGTTTATTTGACAGTGTGGACACCATGGATAGTCTCGACTTATTTAAAGACTCAAGCGTCTTAGGTCTTAATTACGCTCCGCAAACAGATACTTTGCAGTTCAGTGCAGATTTATTATTAGACTCAGCAATAACAAAACGCTCGGTACTGTCTGCTACGTGCAAAGTGTTCGATCCCCTTGGCCTTCTAAGCGCTTGCATAATAGTGGCAAAAATTCTTCTTCAGAAATTGTGGAGCGTTAAATTAGATTGGGACCAACCTGTACCTGAAAGCTTTATTAAAGATTGGGTCAAACTATTAAAAGATATTTCCGTTTTATTTCAAATTAAAATTTCTCGACGTGTATTCAGTGACAACCCAATCGAGTTGCAATTACATTGTTTTGCTGACGCATCGCAACGAGCCTATGCGGCTTGCGTTTACATACGATCACAAGATAGTGAAGGTCACGTTGTTGTGAAGTTATTATGCGCTAAAGCTAGGGTTGCGCCTATTAAACCAACCACTATCCCGCGTTTAGAATTATGTGGTGCATTGTTAGGTGCACGATTGTCTAATAAAGTTTTATCGGCTTTGCGATGTAAGTTAACGCGTAAAGTATTATGGACTGATTCGACCGTAATTCTAGGGTGGTTGAAAACACCAACAAAAGATTTACAGACTTTTGTGTGTAATCGGGTTAATGAAATTAACGAATTAACTCCTGATTTCACATTTTTGCACACACCTACTGATCAAAACCCCGCTGACTTAGCGTCACGAGGAGTTGACCCTAAATTTTTGCAGTCTGCTCTTTTGTGGTGGGAGGGGCCTGCGTTTCTTAAGTTAACACCTGCTGAGTGGCCTAACCAATCTCATGGCAAACATATAACCGATTTACCCGAACTCAAGAAGTCTATAAAATGTTGCAATGTAAATATAAAATTATATTCAGATATTGATGATACATTTATACCATTTAATTGTTTTTCCAACCTAACACGTCTTAAGAAGGTGTACGCTTATGTTTTAAGGTTTATCAATAATTGTAAATCGAGTAATCGTAAAATAGGTCCTTTAGATGTCGCTGAAATTAACGATTCATTGTTATTATTGGTTAAATTTAGTCAGCGTCATTCGTTCGCAGATGAGATCAAATTAATTTCTAATAAACAGCCTCTTGTCCGTACCAGTAAATTATTATCATTGACACCTTTCTTAGATGAAAAAGGCGTTTTACGAGTAGGTGGTCGTCTTGAAAACTCGTCATTCGATTGTAATAAAAGGCATCCCATGCTTCTTGATGCGAAACACCACCTCAGTAAATTAATCATGCGACATGAACACGAACGTTTATTTCATGCGGGCCCCCAATTACTACTTGCTTCAGTTAGAGAAAGATTCTGGCCAGTAGGTGGTAGAAACCTTGCACGTAGCACGGCTAAGCAGTGTATTATTTGTATTCGTTTTCGTGGAAAAACGATACAGCCTATAATGGGAAATTTACCAGTCGAAAGAACCACTCCTACATTCGCTTTTTACTCGTGTGGCGTGGATATGGCCGGTCCTTTTATGATCGCTAGTCGCAAAGGCAAAGGCAATCGCATTTCCAAATGTTATTTATGTTTATTTGTATGCATGGCTACAAAGGCCATTCACTTAGAAGTTGTAAGTGATCTCAGTACAGAGGCATTCATTTTGGCATTTCGTCGATTTATTTCCAGGAGAGGTAAACCGTCAACTATTTTTTGTGACAATGGAACAAATTTCAAAGGGGCTAGCAATGAATTTGGTAGATTGTATAGATCCAGTCGGCAGTCATTAGTCGATTTTAGTCAGGCCGAAGAAATCAAATTTGTGTTCAGCCCTGCCTATTCTCCTCATTTTGGAGGCGTTTGGGAGGCCGGCGTGCGCTCCGCTAAATTTCATTTGAAACGCATAGCTGGTAGCGTATCTTTAACATTTGAGGAGCTATCTACACTATTTACACAGATAGAGGCAATCCTAAATTCACGTCCGTTATCTCCTCTCTCGTCAGACCCAACTGATCCTTCTCCTCTCACTCCAGGGCATTTTCTCGTGGGACGGCCACTGACGTCAGTGCCCTCTCCACCAATCAACTGTAAGCGTCTCAGCAGGTACCAGCTTATCGAGCAACTTCGCCAACACTTCTGGGATCGTTGGAGTCGGGAGTACGTGACGGAGCTACAGCAGAGGACAAAATGGAGGACGAAGCAGCACGAGGTTAAAGTTGGAGATCTTGTCATCCTAAAAGAGGAAAACTTACCCCCCTTATTTTGGAGAATGGCTCGAATTAGTCGTCTGTACCCAGGAAAGGATGGAGTAAGCAGAGTCGCTGACGTTCTCACTCGAAATGGGACACTGAGGAGAGCTATCAACAAGATGTGTGCATTACCATTCGTAAACAGCCCAAGCGAAGAGTGCTGGTCAACCAAACCAGCTGTTGAGGACGATAAATAACAGCTGCAAACTATTTGTTATTGAAAGCGGAGCTTTCAACGCGGTGGAGGATGTTCAAGCGCCTACTAAATCGCTGCAGCAAACACGCGCCAACATGACAAGTTTACCAAACAGCCAGGATCAAAATTCATTCTTATTCGACTGCGGTACACGACGAACGTTACCTAACATTTTATAAATGTTTTATTTGATTGTTTTGAAAAATATAAGTTTTAAAATCTGCAAGTTTGTTTTGAAAATCTCCGAAACCGGCGAGAGCTGGAACACACGGTATGGATAAGGTTTTAAAGATTAGGATGTTTTTTCTGAGTTCTAAATCCTACTTATATGGTATTGTCATAATAAATAAGTAGGTAAGCGCCGTCTTAATTGGCAGCGATAGTACGATGACACGATGCATTCTCGTCGTGCGATGAGTTCAAACATAAAAATTTCTTCAGAAGTATCATAATACAGCTCGGAAGCCGTCGCACGAGCACAGGTACTTTATTTTCATGGCACGATGAATTCGTATACGATCGTCGCAAATTAAGACGACGGCGACGCCTTACAGTTCCTTGAGATCAAGAGGACAATGTTTAAGGGACTATACATATACAATATTTGTACTAAGTTATTTCAAGTAAAGTTTACTAGAAAAAAATCCACGCGGACCAGGCAGCGGACGGGACGCATCCTTCGCTATCCGGGCGAATGCACTAACCATTATGCTACCACGGCCCTATTAACCGCGTCGAAATTTTCCTAGCCTTAAGCTGCAAGGCAGCGCCATCTCTTCGCATTGTAGGTAACCCACAGTGTGGCCTGGTCCGCGTGGATTGTTTTCTAGTAAACTTTTCTTTAGATTTAAAAATCTAGCAGTCAAATGCTTAAAAAATAAATAAAATCATAATTATTTCAAGAATATTACTTGATGATAAAATGTTTTTTACAGGTTTATGTGACGGGACACGTCGCCAAGCGCAACGTCGAAGGGTAAGTTTTTAAAGTTTTTACTAGTTAAGTACTTAGGCAATATTAATTACAAAATATATTTATAATATTATTTTTAGGTAGTTAGCACTCATCAATCAGCACTGCATACTTACTCTATCCATCGAGAGGGTCTATACCCCAGCAGTTGGGGCTTTAATAGGCTGATAGTAATTAAAAAAAAATGTTTATATTACTTACGAACTTACTTAATTTATCTTAGATTACTTACGAAAAGTGGAACACAAGTGTTTTACTTAGGTTTAGGAAGCCGAGCTATTCGGCTCGTATAAAGGTACTCCTGCTTTGTATCATTACATCATGTTTTTCTTTCCCTCATCCTGATATCCCTTAGCACAAAGCTTACAGTGCTTAGGTACTTTACGAGTTTAGGTTGATTATTGAGAGCGTTAGAAATATTCATAACAAAATTGAAATTTCTAGGACTCGTCGCGTTCTGGCGAACTGTACGTGCCGGCGCCGAGCGCTGAAAGCATCCAGGCGCTCGCTCAAGCGATGGGCGCGGCCGGGTTCGAGCACTATACAGAGGGGCGCGCGCTCGTCAAGCGGCTCATACCCGCTGACAGCCAGCCCGACCTCGACGTAGTTGAGCACCAAGGTAAACTAGCCACTTATTAGTTATTGCTTACACGCAATTCAGTGTTTCCGATGCAACTGCAAAATCAAACTGGGAGATAAGTCTGAGAACTTCATGAGAGATACGGATGAAACAAAGGGTTGGGCCGGGATTGGTTCGAGCACTACACGTAGGGAAGCACGCTGTTCAAGCAACTCATGCTATATACCTCGACATAGTTTTGCACCAAGGTAAACTAACCACCTTTTAGAATCAAAATACCCTCAACGCCAAAAATACCGATACTAGCTGAGGCAGTAAGGGGAGTGTCCTCAAAAAGGGGGGGGATACGAGAAATGGTAATTTTTAGCGGTATAGGCGCATATGTCGCGTAGGCTTAAATCAAACTAGATTGATCCTTGATGCTCTTATCCACAAGGAAGTAAGTAGGAATAAGAAGAAAGTTTCGAAAGAAGCGCTTTGTGCCAGACTCGATCAAAGGCCTTTGCAATATCCTGACCACTGTTGCTTTGCCGTGGTCTCGATCGCCTTTGCTCTACGATGCGTCAAGTATACTAGAAGATCACCGACCGAATGACTTCTACCGTACTGGTGTTCGCTAATCAGTTGGTGGCCCTACTGGAACCGAAAGAACTGACAGTTGATAAGGAATTCCATTAATAATAAATAAATGAAAGGGTATAGAAGGTTGTCCGTGCTGGTGCAGCCCATCACTTTTTCGATTTATGCAATTGTCCAGTACATTATGTCTATCGTTGCTTTCATACAAACAATACTATGTCCGTTAAGATGGTGAAGTATTGCCATTTAATTGATGTTTCCTTTTTAATACCTAACTCTCTGTTTCGTAATATTTTTTTTGGTGTCTGTTTTGTTAATTATTTTATGTATAATACATAATTGTTTGTCATCTTCAGGTGTGATTGGAAAAGCTGGTTTGGACTTCCCGGCATACCCGAACATTCCGAACACAGGGTTCAACTGCAAGAATGTGCCGACAGGATACTACGCCGACTTGGAGACAGATTGCCAGGTAATATTGTACATTATGAAAAGAAATTTCTATGAAATGAATCGACTTATTAAATGTTTTTATGCAAACCCGCGACTGGTTAATTGATTTTAGAACAAATTTTGATCCCATCGTTCAGTTTTAATAAGATTAACAACCTTTCAAGTCCAAAAAATAATGTTTCCCATTGTAGTCAGAATAAAATAAATAACAGATCTTAGGTACTTGCTAACTTTGTCGGTAGTTTTGTAAATTACTGTAAATTAAAACAACATGAACCCATATATAGAAGGATATTTGTGCGCATTGTTGTATAATTGAGTTACTATCATTTCAAAAACTCCACGAAACTTAAAGTTAACACAGTCAGTAATATATAATGAAAACTATTTATTCTTTCAGGTATTCCACATCTGCGACACATCCCGTAAAATCTCTTTTCTGTGTCCAAACGGTACCATCTTCAGCCAGTCCCACCTCATCTGTGACTGGTGGTTCAAGGTGGACTGCGCTTCGGCACCCGCACTCTACGAATCCAGCGCTGAATACTACTCAAACGAACAAAAGAAGACCCAGAAAGTCACGCAAACCCTAACCAAAAACTCAGATCTCCAACAAATCAACACTGACACCAATATTCGTGCAGAATCCAGAAGAAGCTCTGTCAACGTACCAAGCACCACGGAACGATTTCTCAGACACAGGCAAAGGCTTCAAGGAGACGCTCAACTTAGCAGCGCTAAAGCTACAGCAAGGAGTTTCCAAACACTTTTTGAAACCCCCAGCTATACTCCCACACAGCGCACGATAGGAACAACAGCTTTTGAAAAAAGGAGGAAGAACCTAGTACAACTCATTGCCAATAACTTTGGTAACCCACCTGCTAAGTCTACCTTGCCAACATATTCTGAAGGACCAGTCTACAGACCAACAACCGCCGCCCCTGCCTTCGATTACAACAATCCAAGAGAAATGCAAGTCGTTGCAGAGAGCGCTTCATTCGCAGCTAACAAAAACAACAGGCAGTTCTTGCAAGATTTCAACAGCAAAAATTTCCGTCCTTACCCGGTGTATACTCCTAATCTTCCACCCAAACCACAAAAGCCAAATAATCCCAACCTGACTACGCTATATGATTTCCGTGACAAACATTTGCAAACGATCCAGTATAAACCAGAAGAAACATCCACCAAACGCTCAACTCTCTTGCCTTATTTCAAACCATACACAACGCCATCTCAACACAGACGTGATCCTTACACCAGACCTGGCGTTTCCCTACTGAAGGATTTCATTGAAAAGGAGAAAAATAAAACTTTGGTTACGACAACGGAGAAAATCACTCAAGCCACTGACAGGAGCGACCGAGGTGAAGTAACAGAAAAACAAGATAAAATAACAATTGAAACAAAGGATTCATTCGAATCGGTCACGAAAATACCTCAAACTACTAAGAACCTTTACTCACTTGCAACTGAAACCGCATCCTCAGATAGACTTGAAACATACACAAACCAAGTCACAGAAGTGACTACGGAACCTTACCAGGAAAGAAGAGAAAGGTTGATTCGCAAACTAAACTTAGGTACATTTGGATCAACACAAGTCACTGAACCAACGCCTACAGAAAAATACTATGGAGACCAACCAAATAGACCGGGGCTTATCGTACCGCCATCTTTGACCCCTAAAACTCTTCACAGTTTGGCTATTTATTATGCCACTGCGATGGATAATCTTTCAACGGGTAGTACCTCCGCAACTGAAGATATTGAAACCACTACAGCGGCTTTGAATGAATATGAAACCATTGATGAGGAATTGCCTGGGCTCTTTAGTCGCCATACGATTAATAAATATAGCAGTCTTTTTGGTCATGGTTTAGACCACAGCGAATTACTGGATGACCTAAAACTTGATCCCAATGGAACTTATAACGAACTTGTTGATGATCTTAGCGTTCAACAAAGCCAAAACCCTCTAGCTACGTCGCCTCAAATTAGAGAGCTTGCTCAAGTTTTCACGCATGCTTTATCGGCATATCTGCAAGATCCAGTGCAATTTAGGAAAGTCCTTTCAGATATAAGACCCACCCATCCATCGTTCACTGATACGGCATCCACCGATGAATATTTTAACACTGAACCTACAACAACGGTCAATGAAGAGGATGATGAAATACTAGGCTTTTCTGATGATATTAAATCTAGACCCTCTTTGGCTTCTCTGCGGGATTCGAAATCCTTGAGCATAGCTACTGAATATCCGTCTATCCCAGAAGAAACAACTACTACTCCCAAGCCTTACACTACGCCAAAACCTTACACTACTCTTAAACCTTACACTACTCACAGTGTTTCAACATCGTATTCAAGTGTTACACCTCGTAGTCCATTCAGATGCTGTGGAAGAATATCTGCATCTTATACTTCTCCATCTACCCCGATAATAGTCTCGACGCCATTACCGTATACAAATACAGTGGCAGCTAAAGTTAATACACTAACCAACGATGAGTTCAATAATAAAATAGTTGCTACCACAGAGAATAGCTATACAGCACCTAAATTTGGAGGATTCCAAAACAATACATTTTCTGTTAATGATTCGCCATACGGAAACGGCGTGAATCAGCCAAATTCTCAACCACTGAGCGAATATATTGAGGCCACTAATTTACCAACTGCATGGGGCGTTGACCTTTCCGAACCAACAGCCACATCTACTATCGCGACACCAGTAAATACTTTCGAAAGCAAGAAAATAAGAACAACTACTGTCATACCTGAAACCACTGCTATATATTTCACAGAAGCTGATAGTGTGGAATTGGAAAACGAAGAGGAATTACAAAGAGCGCACAGCCAGTCATTTATTGGTCCTCAAGGAAACAGCCTGCGACAAGGTAAACAAGTGCAGTTCGATCCCTCTAATACAACAGTGAGAAAACCTTCTGAAGATCTCGAAGCTCCAACATTGCCCGACATTGAGACTACCGCTGTGCAAACGACTGCTCAACCAACCACAGCTCTGAAAGTTGAAGAAACAGAGCCAACGACGACCCTGTCTCCATTATCTAGCAGTGTATTCACCTCACCAGACAATGATAAAACTACAAACCCTTTCCAATGGCCTACTTTCGAGACATGGCATAGCACTGTCGTTGATCCTATTACCCTCAATGATGGTTTAAGCCCCTCAGGACCCGAAGAAGTAGCGAAACAAACGAATTCTTGGGTAGCCAGTACAACAATTACACCCACAACTGGGTACACAGCCACAACCGAACAATCAGTATCTTCAACGTCAATAAACATAGATATCGCTTCCCGTGGAAACTTTAACGACGAGCGTTTCGGAAGACTTCTAAAAGATGATCGTACTTCGACGGAACCTTCTCAGGATTTCAGCGCGATCACCGACACTGTAGTAGAAAAGGCTAAGGAAATTATGGGAGGTATGAATTCGACCACTACTGAGAAGCTCATGAATGTTATGAAGAAAACTAAATCCAAAACGGTAAAGAGGCTGATTCTTTTGTTAGTTCAAACTTGCGACGACGATCATAACACGACAGCCGAGGCATCGAAGAAAGCCCTGTTGGAAGCACTAATGGCAGTCTCACAAAAGGACATGGAGGAAATAGCAAAAGAGGAAGAACATCTAACTGAAAACCCTACAACGATATCGGATTATGAAGCTGTGAAATCAACAGATTACAGACAACCAGAGAGATACGAAGAAGCAAGGCAAGATGACAAACCTAGTGAAAGAAGAGAACCTTTCATCCATTCCAGTGAAAGGAGAGGCAAGAGTCTAAATTTCGAAGCCACCGCTGTGAATTCGTTATCGAACCCGTCAACAGTTGAATCTGTACGGTCTACAACAGACAATGTACGGTCCACAACGGAGACCGTAATTGAAACTACAGCGTTGCCTAGTAGAACAACTCAATTTAATCGTAGAGGTGCGAAGAAATTCTTCACAAGAACAACGGTGGAACCTCAAGCTACGACTACTCATTACGTAGATAGTCCAAGAGCTGAAGCGAGAATGGCTTCTCCCGATTTGAAAGGCCCAGCTGACACAAGAGCGCTCGAACTATTAAGATCGTTATACACTATTGCAGCGCGGTGGGGTTGATAACCCATTACTATTAATAGAAATAATTGGTTTCTATGTTCGTGATTTAGGAATTGTTTGAATCTGTTATACAGGCTGTACAAAACAATGCGGCAGGTGATTAAATGAAAAATTATGTATTAAAATTCAACGGATTTACATTATAAGTTCATCTCTTAACTACATATTGGAATCATTAATTATCGTCATTACTACATAGTTAAAATAATATTTTATTTAAATTAAAGTAACTTAGTCATGGAACTTTAGATGATAAAGACTTCAAAATGAAACGGATTTTTTTCGAAAATCTTTTAATGCCTTTTCACCACTTGTACTGTCGTTTTGTGCATCCTCTTAATATCTACAGGCAACTACTGCTTAAGACTTAAATAGTATCTTTGACAAAAAATATATTAATTTATTCAACAAACAATTCCTGAATAGAAATAATGTTTTTTATTACATTACCTATGTAGATAGCTTGTTTTATTTGGTGTTTGACTTTGAAATTTTTACGATCATCTCAATGTTCAATGTTAGAAAATTATTGATAATTTTGATGATTGTTTGGGACCATTTTGGCACCAACGCCAATGGTGCGTGCAATTTTAAATTTCTTATTTTAGAGAAATATTGTACCTACATCGGTAAATTAAAGTGCCTGTGTTAAATAAATACATGTACATTTGGTCACCAAGTAGTTAACTTATTACGTTTTGTTATGGAAATGTATAAGACTTTATGTTAAGTAGAAATTAGAGAATATATTTTTTATTTTTATATTTTTTCCTATTACTAAGGAAAATTGCCCTGAAACCTACTGAGTTACCTATATTATTTTTACTTATAGATTTATGATACTGTTACATATTATAAGCTGCCACAATTTTGCTGTAATATACTTGTAAGTAAACTACGTCTAAATAAATTGTAATATAAGTGTGTAGTTGGTAGGTTTTTACAATAAATTTATAAAAAATAACTGTTGTCTTATTGAGTTGTCTTAAAAAAACCCAGGATCAGCCCCTATAGCATGACCACTGAAACGGGATATGATAAAGCGATATATCGGCATTAACTGTCAGACTACTGTCAAACTCCACTGTAGTCTCGACAGTCATGCTAGAGGGGCTGACCAGGATCCATCTATTTGTTACAATTTAAAAATATAAAATGGTATGGAGTAACAAACGAGACCTTACGTCTTTTCTGTCATTGGCCGGATTGTATTGTTGTTGTTACTCCGACCTATGATGCTCCTTTCACATGTGACGTAATTTCTCATTGTGTTTTGTAAGCGACTGTGTGATAAAGTAAGCGCTCCACTGATTCGGTTTCGTGAAGTAGTTTTCTGAGTGGAATAATCTTTCATAACCCCCTTGAAATATTACTTACGGGATAGCAAGCCTATGCCCTACGCGGTGCCTATCTATTTATCTACCTACATACCGAAATTCATCAAAATTGGGTCAGCGATTTGGGCATGAAAGCATAAACGAGAGAATAAGAAACTTTCGAAATCATAGTTTTACTTTTCAAACAAGAAATATTAGTTTATAAAATGTAGGAATAACGATCGCCTTACATTTTATCCCTTAATCATCAATAAATATATAAAGTTCTATGAAAATAGTTAACACTACCCTTAGCATGAACCAATATCGAATTCGTAACGTTTGCGAGTCCGAAATGTCATTGTCAAATCTGTGCTGATTTTTAGTTCTCGTTACGTACTTTGTGACGCTGCTGTTCAAGTTTCCATACAAAATTTGACATTGACATTTCGTACTTGCAAGTTATTCGAATTCGATAATGGTTCCTGCTAAGGGTACATTCACAAACAAGCAAAGAGCCAATTGAACCTAGACTAAGCATTCAAATTCAGATAAAATATAATGAAATATACAATCAAAATTAAGGCATACAATTGTGAGAAATCGAAATGAAACACACAAAATAACTTTTAAAATATATTATACGCAACGTCAACCCTAATATACAAACGTATTAAGATCACTTTTTGCCTGCTGATCTCTTGAGGAACCGGTCGACGTCTTGGTCGGTGACTTTGTGTCCGGACTTGAAGTAGCTCTTGACTCGCTTCTTCTTCTTCATCATGAGTTTGGCGGCGGCCAATGCGCCTCTACGCTGCAACGACTCGTAGCGATCGCGGAGGAGGTTCACTAGAATTTGAAGTTTATTTCAGTAACGATAAGAGGCCGTTCAAGTATTAGGAAAGCAGATTATTACAACTATATAGCCCCTCCTGCCCCTCCCCCTTAAGTATTCAAATTTTTTTTATTGATTCATGAGCTTTCATGAGCTTCATGAGCAGCAGTACTTAAATAGGCTTAGGAAAAGAAGACTTTAACTCCCATCATTTAAACAAACTGTATTGACTCAGTATTCAACATAGAGTAAGGTACAAATATCTTATTATGAGCCCTTTCACATTTTTTGCAAAAAGTCGTAATTTTTGAGCGACTCGTTTACCCCCTTTGAAAAGATTTTGACTATTTCCAATAGAAGTAAACAGTACATTTATTCTTCCTATTGTAAGTTAATGTAGAATATTTGCAAATACCATTTTAAACGAACCCTGGTTCCTTCTTGGGAGTCTTGTGAGCGTTGAGAGCGGGTAAAGCGATTATTTCCTCCACTGCTCGCTTTATATTAGTATGGATAGTTGTGTGTGTAAACAAGGAATAAATACCTTTAGTGCTAATCTGCCTCAAGTCTCCAGTCAGCTGTTATGGGTCAATGAACTCTGGTTCCTTCTTGGGCGTTTTGTGAGCGTTGAGAGCGGGTAAAGCGATTATTTTCTCCACCACTCGCTTAATATTAGTATAGATTGTGTATGTAAACAAGGAATAAATACTTTAGTGATGATCTGCCTCAAGTCTCCGGTCAGCTATTGGGGGTCAACGAACTCTGGTTCCTTCTTGGGCGTCTTGTGAGCGTTGAGAGCGGGTAAAGCGATTATTTTCTCCACCGCTCGCTTAATGTTAATATAGATTGTGTGTGTAAACAAGGAATAAATACCTTTAGTGTTGATCTGCCTCAAGTCTCCGGTCAGCTGTTGGGGGTCAACGAACTCTGGTTCCTTCTTGGGCGTCTTGTGAGCGTTGAGAGCGGATAAAGCGATTATTTTCTCCACCGCTCGCTTAATATTAGTATAGATTGTGTGTGTAAACAAGGAATAAATACCTTTAGTGATGATCTGCCTCAAGTCTCTGGTCAGCTATTGGGGGTCAACGAACTCTGGTTCCTTCTTGGGCGTCTTGTGAGCGTTGAGAGCGGGTAAAGCGATTATTTTCTCCACCGCTCGCTTAATGTTAATATAGATTGTGTGTGTAAACAAGGAATAAATACCTTTAGTGTTGATCTGCCTCAAGTCTCCGGTCAGCTGTTGGGGGTCAACGAACTCTGGTTCCTTCTTGGGCGTCTTGTGAGCATTGAGAGCGGGTAAAGCGGTCGTTTCCTCTACTGCTCGCTTGGCCGCTCGCTTCTCGCGCTCTTCTGCTTGACGTTTATGAACGTTGTATATCGAGGATTGAAGCTGGCGTAGTCTGTGGGAATTTTAAAATAAACAACAAATAAGCAATAATTTGACAAAGAATAACTTATTTATTTATTTAACAGACTTTATTCACCAATACTTTAGAATGGTACAAGAGGCGGACTTTATGCTAAAATCACATTTGATTACTTTCTGTTGTGAATAGAAAAGACGGTAACTTCAAATAATTGTGTAAATTTAATTAAAAAGTTGAAACATTGATGAAAATATTTACATTCTAAACAGAATAAGTATTTTCTGTTGTATATATATGTTGTATATATACATTTTATATAGAGAGTTATACCGCCTTATTCCAAAACACAAACTAAAGTTGTTCTTTGTTTAAATCTATGTTGTCTCTGACTTCCTTTTTGTATACATAAGTGGCAGAATCAGTTTTAGTCTAACTTTAGTCTACGTTTTGTAATAAGGCGGATGGCGTTTAAAAAGAGAGCTGATTTGTGAAATTTTAAGAAAATAATCTTTCAGGAATATTAAGTACTAGCTGACCGAGCGAACTTCGTACCGCCCTGAAAAAATAGGGGTTGTCCAGCGGACAAAATTGTGAATCTAAACCATTCTCAGATCCCCTTGAACACACACAAAAAATTTCATCAAAATCGGTCCAGTCGTTTAAGAGAAGTTCAGTGACATACACACTCACAGAAGAATTATATATATAAAGATTTGAGGACTGCAAGAAATTGTTTCCAAAGATTCTTATATGACTGATAAAAGACTGGAGTTCGTTACAAATACTAATCATGCTTTATCTACATATTTGAAAAAAATCTATGGCTCATTTTTTTTGCTTAATTATTTTTTAATTCAAAACCTAAACGCGTTCCTGAGATAAAGGGTTGACAGACAGTCAGACAATAAAGTTATGAGATTGATATATTTTTAAAGCATATTTTTGAGTTTTCCTGTCTATGAAATTAACAACAAATGCGAACGTACTTCCATGTTATACCTATTTGCTTACAAATCATCATTTGATCAAGATTTCATTTTAAAGTACATTTCTTGACAGTTTTTTTTTTCAAAATTCGGCAGAAGTCTTAGTTCGGTAAGTAACTAATAATAACTAAAATATCAATAGCTACTGACTTGTAAAGATCAGTGATCTTCTTCTTCTCCACCTTGAGTCGTTTCAAGCGTTCCTTCTCAGCCAGTCTCTCCTTCTGTTTCCTGCGAGCTTTATGGTCCTTCTTCTTGTTTTGCACAGGCGGGTTTATGGCTTTATATTCCCCATCAGACTCGGGCTCGGGGTCATTAGCCGGATTGTGGGGCTGGGGGAGGCCAGTGCTCATCTCTTCCCGCCATTGGTTCTGAATTTATTAGAAATAACATTCTCAAAATCAACAATTTTTTTAATGCTTCATTGTATCACATGTTCACATTTTATTGTTAGGGGCTGTCCATTAATCAAGTGAGACTCGTAGGGGGGGGGGGGGGGGGGAGCAAACTTTATGTCTGCCTCTAAACATTATTATTGTAGTCTTTAATTTTCTATTATACAATTAGATGATACTTAAAGACAAAACAAGACCTGTACTTTAAAAATATAAAAAAAATAAGATTCTTTGTTAATACTAAAAAATACACGTGATAGGGGTAGTCTTAATACTCACCATATATCACCAAGGGTAGGGGGGTTAAATATGACAAAAAATACATCACATGATTAATGGACGACCCCTTAGCGTAAATAAAGTGACAGCATCAACTTTAGTCGCACTTGAAAGTTTATTGTGAGAAAACCATAGCTAAGCCATTAAGAAAGAATGAAGAAAACAAATTAATTAACTTCTCTGAGGAAAAATAGTCTTCTGATTCTGGCCCACATGTACTTGGTATTCTATTTAGTTGATATTGTTGACAACAATATAAATCATATTTACTGTTTTATTTTAGGGGTAGTTTTAAGGGTAGAAAAGCTTAAGAATATGATAATCATTTTCGAGAGTGTGGAATAATATTTAAATCCTTTTATCATTTTTTATCAAGGGGTAGTTTTCAAGGGTTGAAAGGGGGTTAAAAATTTGATAATTATTATAGAGAATATAAAATATTACTTTTTACTCTATACTTACATCTTTTTATGTCATACCAAAGTATTTTTTTGTGTTTTTGAAGTTATACTTCTTTAGCCGCGTTATGAAAAAATTATGAGAGTGAAATTTTCATCACTGTAACACAAAATTTTAACATAATGAAGTTAGCCGCGGGCGCGTTATTTGTAATATTTTATTTTCCAAGTGACCGTGGGGCAGATTTGAACAAAGCAAACAGGGCAGATTTGAACAGGATCTTGGAAAGGAAATGAAATGAAATGAAATGACATTTATTATTAATTTATTGTAATTAATTATTTGCATGCAATTAAAAACTAATTTTAAACGATGCCAAAGAAGGATAACTTCTCACGCGCCTACATAAGTACACGCACCCATTTTTTTTCAATTTAGGGGTTGTTCGCAAGGGTTGTAAGATTTTCAAGGGGTTGAAAATGATTTTAATATGAGGTAATTATGTTAGAAAATACTTTACAATTTCACCACTTACTATTAGACATGTTTTCTAACGATAAAATGGCTCAATGTCAATTTTTCCATTAAGGGTTTTTTTTTTCTTCTTTCTGTGGTGTTCTCCGTTTTGTAAAGAATATGTACTAAACTGTACCGTTTGGTTTGGACCATACTGAGAACGAAAAAACAAAAGAAACTTTACTAAGATCTTTATAGTTACATGACAGTAAGAAATTGAACTAAACAAAGATCCCAATTTATAGTGTTAGAAATGTTGGAGAAAAAAGTGCTTATTTTTATATATACAGTGTAAACTCCAAGTAACGTCACTCGATTTAGCGACAAACTCTCTAAAGCGTCGAAATCACTCGTCTTTGGTTGGTTTAGTTTGTTTTCCATACAATGATACACTCCATAAAGAATGAGGGCTATCGCGTATGAATCCGCCGCTAGAGGCGCTAGTGTAGCGTGAGGTCTCCGAAATGTCAAATGTTATTGCTTGTTGGTTGACTACGCGGGTTTATTTCTTATTAAAATAATGTTGTGAATAATTGGTAACAATTCGGCTTAATTATGGCAAATATGAGTTATGTGGCAATGAATGTTAGTTATTAAAAATTTGAGCTTAGAAAAATGATTATGTTCCCATTTTTTCCGAATAAAACGGAACTGGGCGTCACTGTGGCATGGCCTATTATGTTTAGAATATGGTTCTTTTGTGTTAAAATACGATCTAAATGTAATCTTTGATTTCATGTGCGTATTAATAAACTTTAAAAGATACAATTTAGGACCTCACTCAACAGTGGCGCCATCTGGTGAGACAGAAAACGGTAGCCCTCATTACACCCACTCTCAATAACGACAACAATTAAGTAATAAAAAGTACCTTTTATGTTGCCAAAATTAGTGAAAATCGCGCAGCTGTGTATTGCACGTTCTTTTGTCGCTTTATTATCCTAGCCCGTAATAAACTCGACTGTCGGCATAATGCAAACCAAACTTACTAAGAAATTCTTTCTTTTGTTTACAAATTGGGATTGCAAGTGTAGAAAATAGGTATAGGTTTTGAGTCCCGTCTGCTGGCTGGACCGCATGGAATATTTTCTAGCAATATTTTCTTTATAGAATTAGTTCTTATTCAGACTAGAATTAGAACTAATTCTATAAAGAAAATATTGCTACCGTTAAAATTAGTAAAAAAATAGTAGGATAGATTTCCATACCTCCCTCTCTTGCTGGGTAACCTTGCTGAACATGCCGGTAGTGACGCGATGGAGATGCGCCTCGCGTTTCATCAACTTCTGTTCATGCTGCACAACGTCTTGGAGGAGCTCTTGGTGTTCCTGTAATTTATTAAAAAATCTTAATCACCAATCGTTGAAGGACAAACTAGAACAAAATCAAAACAAATAATTTAAATGAATTGAGAAGAAAAATGTTGAGTCAGAACAATCATAAAAAAATAATAATGACATTGCTCAAATAAATTGTGTGTGTATTTTGAGATGACACTTTTTATTTTAGAAAATGTAATGGATGTTACAACAGCAAAAGATAACCAGATTGTGAAACATGGATTAACCATGAAAACTTTATTACAGTTATTCTACTTTATTACTGTAAATTACTGTATTCAACCGATATGGCCAGGAGCGGATTAAGCATACAGACACATTAACTCTCTGTCGTGGCATAAAAACAATATATGGTGTGCAGGTTTTAGCAATGTATTGTGTAATTGCTTATGTATGTGTCGTATTTACAAATTTGTTCTATATGCGTGTAAATGTTAAACTGCATGTGTGTGCATATTCTGACCTTCAAAAAATTAGAGAGACTTGAACAGTAATAAATCGCTATGGCCACTCCCTTCTGCGTTGCTCTATGCCACTTCATGATGATGTTGTGGTTAATGACTAGTTAAAAGAAACATATTTACCTTAAAACTGGGGTTGTAACTGATACCAGGATGAGGAGCTTCCACAGCAGCTCGGCTCACAACAGTCTTGGGAGGTGCAGGCTTAGGTCTTAAGCGTCTGTCTGGTAATACATTGTGCAGTTGTGCTTCTGGTGGTATGAACTCATCGCACAATGTTTGCGGGATGCCCTTTGCTTCGGGAGCTGAAATTTATTTTTGATTAATTAGTTTGTTTCTTGTTATTTACTAAAGTTGACTGAGAGCTTGACAAAATAATTTAATATGTCCCCTGATAACTTCATCTAAAAAGTATATCAATGAACCAAGAACCTAGTCTTGGATATTATTGCAGGCAGACCTACATTTAGCTATGGTATTAAAACTGAATAATGTTGAGAAAAATATTTACAAAAAAAAGTTTTTATCATAAATGCTGAGTAAAGACCAAATTTAAGTAGAAAGTCTTTCCTTGCTAATGCACAACTTTATGTGGTTGATTTTGTATAGAATGTGGATAATCAGTAATAGTAAATGCAGAAAGTGTGTCTGTCTGTGTGTGACCTTTTCACTTTAAGGCAGGTACAAGGGTAGTGGAAGTTGGTATCAGAAATCCATAGAACTATGCAGATAAAGTCAGGGGCACTAGTAATTCTATAGTATAGTAATGCAACAAAAACTGATACTTACTATCCTTTCCCCACAGATCAACATCAAATGTGTTACTGTTTTGCTTGGCTCTTCTTTTCTTATCTAGAGCTATTTTTCTATTCTTCCTAGCCACCTCCACCTTTTTTTCATAAACACCTTTCTTCAATCTTTTTATCTCTGTTATTTTACTCAAAGCAGTTGGTTTTGTACCAGATGGATTCACATGGTTACGTTTTGCATTGGGGTCTTTTACCTATGGAAAGTATCATAACTAACATAAAGCAAATATTAGGCTAACAGGGCATAACAACAGCTAATACGGCATAAAATTGCCTTCCTCTTAAGTCTAAGAGTGTCCGTGGACGGACTGCTCAAGCAATTAGCCAGTGAACAACATACACAGAGTTCTCAAGCAGTCAGTTTTACCAGCTTGCCATTTCACCAAGCTGTCAACTGCCAGAGCAGTTGTCACTTAAGGGGTTTGTGTATTAGCAGATTGCAGTTCACTATGCAGTCACAGTTTGAAGTAGTCGGTCCCAACTGCTTAAAAAACCATGTGGTTAATACTATACCTTAGATGTAGGTAAAAGAACTTCAAAGCACTTTGGTGTTTCAGCCAATTTCTGCCTTTTCCTCTCCTTTGCTGAACACGGCTTGACTGTGGTAATAGTTTTCACTTCTTGGATTTCATCCCCACCTTGTGTGTCTATCACAAACAACTCTTCATCTGGTTTTGAATCAAATCTCCTGATTAAAAGGTTTTATTTATTTTAATATTGTTTTAAAAAAGTTTTCATTAATGCTAAATGGAGTGAAAGCTAAAGAAAAACAAGGCTGAATAAACAGCAGCTAACTGTCCTATTACTTCACATAGTAAAGTCACCCAAGAAATATTTTCAAAAATTAAATAACGCACCAACAAGCCAAGACCAGTATTTCTAAAAAACATCTAAGAAGCTACTATTATAATGACTATTCAAAGTTTGGAATGGAGCTATTCCATTTATTATATTCTCATCTTCTGATTTATTACTCTCAGTATTAAATTCTGCAAAACTGATTGCATGCACATAGTGAAATATTGTTTTATAAACAAAATTACACTAGAAATAATATTCTACTCGGCCTTACTTCTTAGTTGGGCCTAGTAGAATTCACTACAGCCAAACTCAAGACATCAATTAAGTTTGCTTAAAGTTGATGCTGTTAGATACATTTATTGCGAAATCTAACAATAGAGCAGGGCAGCAAGTGACTTAATGAAGCACTAAATATTTCATGTTTTGATAACTGCAGCCAATAATGTTACAATAAGCCTTATTTCGAATGAATACAAACATAACCTTACCCCAATCTCTCTTCCAACCTCTGATCTTCTAGGAATTCCTCCACATCACGAATATCACAATGCTTGCGCCAATCTTTTTTATTCTTTTTAGACACATGCTTTTTCTTTTTGATTTCAGGCATATTTTCTAAAAGTTTAGTAAAACCCTGCTGTGACCCACATGTAAACTTATCAATGAATGAATGAAATGAAAAGCCAGTCGGTCGCCGTCAGTGACAAGAGAATGAATGAATCGAAAGTGTCACTGTCAACGTCAATTAGAGGACCGTTTTAAAAAAAATACTATGATATAGTTTCTGGCGTGAATCTGTAAACTTAAAACTAAATTTCACATCAGTCCCCCTTTTCATTCTGTATTTAAGAATGACAAGGATAGGCTATTGACAAATTTAAGTTTCGGTTTAGAGAATCATGCCAGAATCGACACCAATGTCTCTCGACTCTTTATTATTTAACTTAAAACTTATAGGTAGCTCATAGCTATAGATGACCTGATTGGTCTCACTGAACCAAGACCAACCATTCATCTATGCTCAGCAACGCGAATGAGTGACACTATTCATTATTTTTTTCTGGCAACACTAACCGAACGTCATCTCTCAAAGTCATTCATTTTTTTGTGCGAAATTTAGACCTGTCCTAGTCTGTATGATTTCTTGAGATAAAAAGTGAAATAAATATGCCTAGACCGTAAGTATTGTTATTATTCTTATTTGATGTAATGAACGAATATGTAAGTAGTATAAAAAAATATTATAAATTAAAAAAGCTTATAGAATTTTTGGTATAATTGTGGATATGTGGTGTGTCACCTGTGGGTGACACTGGGCGTAATAATAATCATACATCAAATAAAACTAGTTTTAACGGGTTAATGCATGAACTTTTTTTTATTTATTGACGTTTCGCAACCTTTTCAGGTCTGCATCGTCAGAATAGTGGTTTTTTTATTTACCTACTTTGTCGAACTACCTTCGAAAGACTTTTATTGAGCTTTCGGATATTTCATTGGAAGATTTTTAAAATTTTGTTGTCTTTGTGTGAATTTATTAGGTATTTTAGTTAATAAAGTATTTTATTAAAAATTCTTTTTTGTAATTTTGAGTTTATTTATTTGACCCTAACTACCATAAACTACCACCAGTTCCAAAATTGGGAGACCTTTCTGAGAAGAACTGGCGAAACAAACTCAGAGAGGCTTCATCATACATTGTTTGAATTCATACAAAGTAATCACAAGACTATTGGCTACATATTATCGGCTTATCGCTATATAAATGTTGTCGGAGGTCGAGGATGACCCAGGTGATATTATTTTATTGCCTCCTGAAGATGGTGCAGTGACTGACGTAGACAGTAGAGATGAAAATGAAGCTAATATCCCTACATCTTCCCAATCGTATGCTTCGGTCTCATGTGGAACTACAAAATAGGTCTGTATAGTGGAGAAAATCGTTCTTATGACCTGGAAGAAGGCGAAGATATTGACGTCACTGCACCAAAGACAAAACAATTGGTATGCCAATATGCCAAAGTCAGCAATATTTCTTTTACTTCTTGCGGGAAAGGAGACTGACCAAGAAATTTTTAGTAAATCCCAGAAGGAGAGGAGTCCAGTTGAATGGTTTTGAGTTGACAATGTTGATTTTATAGCTGATATGATTAGACCCTGTCAGAAAAGTGGATCGGATTTGGATGCAGCTTGCCAAAATGCATGGCTTATAAAAAGACAGTCTGAACACAATTGCACCTACTGCGATTTTCCATGTGTATGTGGCTACCTACATATATACCTGCAAAAATATGGTACATCTCCGAGCCGCAATTCAGCTTGTGGTGTCCTGTCCAATATATATCTTTTAATTATTTTTTGGCGTATCTAAACACAATTTATTTATGTTCTATCAAAACAATGATATTTTTCACCTATTTTAACATGGGAACTGAAGAGTTAAATAACATGGTCTAATAGGTCCCGGAGACGATCAATTGGATTTGTCAAGTCTTACGTTATTGACGGTTTCAATTGATAAGCGACTTGACGCCCATTGATGGTGATGTTAAGTGCGCACGCTACAGTCGCCTACCAACCGTGCTCGTGACACGAATGAAAGTCCTCTCAAATCAATACCAATCCAGTGCAAGTCAGATTCGCGCACAAAGGGTTTCGTATTATCTATACAAAATTAGGCACTATATTATAATATCGAGCAAAAATCTTATGGGAGCTCAACTAAAACGTTTATTTTTTAAATTTAGAGTGAATATCTTTATATTTTGTGAATATTTCAAACGTTTACCTATTGCCGTTATCAATATAGAGCAAAAAACGGCAAAAAATTACGCTTGTTATATGGGAGCTCCCCTTATATATTTATTCAGTTCATGAGATACAACCTGGTGTCAGACAAACAGACGGACAGTGGAATCTTAGTAATAGGGTCTCATTTTTGCCATTTGGACACGGAACGCTAAAATGATTTCCAACGGTGATAATGCCAGATCTGCCATGTCTATAGCGGTATCTATGACTGCTAATGTAATCGCCCTTTTCGCAATTTTTGTCTGCTGCCTTACTATTAAATTTCCATAGTGCAGGAGTTCCTGTATTATTATTATATTAATAATAGAAAAAAATCGCACTAGGTAATAATGTCTTTTCGCTATTGCTGCGTTTAGTTCCTCCAACTTCAATGTTGCGGCCGCAAATGAGAAAGACTTGTCAATTCCCATCAAGTCGTTTCAAGCGCAATCGCATCAAGCGCCGTCAATCAAAAGTAATGTCAATACCCATTAAGCCGGTAGTGTGCATAACGGTAGCGTCAAGTCAAAGCGGTAAACGATCAATATTCGCTTCAATCACGTAGACTTGATCGTCTCCGGGACCTATAACTAAAAGTCCCTTACTATATTATGTCAAGTCAATGGTTACGTTCCGATCTACATTCCGAAAGTTAATCAATTGCGTTGCACACAGAGGTACCTTGTCAGTAGTAACATGGTTGTAGCTATCAACTTTTTTAGATTTTCCAGCAAATAACGATAATAATTGAGTATTTTTGCTAATATCATGGTTTAATAATTTAGAAGAATTTATAACTTGTTTTTATGCGTGACTTAAAAACGATAACATAAGACATTACATTACACGTTTAAAAGTTCGTTTGTATTTCCTGTCCAGGAAAATTACGAAATGGAAAAGAAAACAATCTTCATCTATAACAAAAAACATTGTTTTAATAAAAAACTTAACGATTGTATATTATTATACCTAAAAAAAATAAAATGGCATTAAAAATTCAAATAAACGTTCGATTTTTATTTTTCTTCTTCGCAGTCTTCGTCCTGTTCTTCTTCGTCGTCTTCATCACCTTCCTCCTCCTCTTCCTCTTCTGCTTCATGAGCTTTCTTTGGTGGTGCAGCTTTGACTTCTGAAAATGACAAATTGCAAAATGTTGTTTTCGAAGGCTACAATGAGGTTGCTATTGTATTTTTTTTACTAATGCAGAAAACTACAGATACATTTTTATTTTCAATCATAAGTAATGGATTTGCTAAATACCTAGTTTAATATAATGTATACGTAAACGAACATGATATGTTGTTTATGACGTAACAACGTCTTTTAAATCGATGAACACCGGCTGCACGCATGAAAACTGTGACGTCATATCACGTTATCATAACGTGACATGAGTCACGACTTCACGATTTAGTTCAATGTTCCACGATGTGTGTGAACTGTGAGGTGGGGTCGTGCGGTTCCTTCGACTCTCTTTTCTGGCCTCTCTAACACCCAGACCCCCCCCCCTCCCCTCCCTGAGCCCCCTTTCTCTCGTAGAGTACCTCACCCCGTGGAGCATAGCAAGAAGGTAAGAAATTAACAAGTGGTCCTCCTGCACTGCACTCCGGACTTAACGTTTGGATTTCTATATGTCATGTATAATATCTATGTAATCATGTTTATTTTTGTCAATAAACTCAATACTTTGTTACTATGATTTAGAGTTAACAATTCAGTTATTGTAATCACTCGCACTGTTGCCGATTCGAGCAGGAGTGTTTTTACTCTTAGAGACTGCGACGGCCGGCAGAAACAGTAAAGGGCATTCGATCGTAAAGGTAAAAATCATCGATCAATTAAGGTATTAGTCTGTATTCGGTTTGGCCTCTTATTCAACCAAGGGACGGCTACTACCGAGCATAAGCCCAACCACTCCTTCCTTTATACATAAAATATAAAACAAAGTCAACTTGAAAATATAGAGCCGGTGAAAAACTTTTAAAATCGAATTAGGTCTTTTTAAACTCTCCTAAACTTACCCATTTTTGATACTGTGAAAATTTGTATGCAAATATAACTTTTGAAACAAATATTGTAATGTTAGAAAATAACGTAATTTAAAAATAGGCACTTATAACGGCGGCAAATAAAACCTAATAATAGTCAATCCTCTCTTATCAACGTCCGTGACCGAAAATCCGGGATGTGAGCGGGTCTGTACTACCTTCACAAGATCGGCAGCCAGTGACCGGTAACTGCACAGGAGATTCAGTGCTTGGCAGAGCCGCTTAATTTTAACTGGCGTTTATGGCACTTTCATCACACACGACCCTGGCATGAAAATCATATGTCCTTATATGCCCATCTAGACCTTTATTATAAAAAAAAACTTTAAGGATTACCTACCACCAACTATTCTCCTTGGGTTCCCAAGAACTCCTTTCACTTTCTTGAAAGAAGTTCTTAAAATCTACATATTCCTCCGGAAATGCTTTTGGGTAAGAATAATTTTCCTTTCTGCTGTCATAAGACTGTTGTGGTGCTTCAGAGTAATTCTCGTTTGCAACCTGATGTTTTTGTGTTTGCGATTGTTCCTCAGTATTGGTGGGGTTTTCTATGATTTGAACCTCTACAGGGTTGTCCGAATTCACAGTTGGCCGTTTTGATTGGGAATCAAGTGTGAAAATAAGAGGTTCATGAGCTGTTCTATCAGGAGCATTATCCTGGTAATATTCTACGTCCTGTTGTTTTAGTTGTAGAGAAGTTAGCTTTGCGCTCGACTTCGGATGCGGCGCATCGGCGACGATTTCTGAAAGAATGGAAAAGCACGCTTAACGAATCGTCTTGATTCGCTGTAGGTGCGAGGAAATCACCCGACCTAACTCTATTAAGAAAGCAGGACAGCCATAATGGAATATATACAGACTGAAAGGAGATTATGTACAAGTTGAATGTTTTTACAATGGGACATTGAGGATCGCAACGAGTGTATTGATCCTCTTAAAGAACAGTAGAGTAACTGTCATTCAACCCAGAATCATGTACAGTGTAGGCCTTAGCTCCATGCCTTAATCCATTTAAACAATTGCCGTTAGTGAAGTCATTGCATGCTGAGGAACATAATCATTCGGCTTCAGTAAATAAGAATGTGTGGGTATATACATAGTTACAGGTTATTTTATTACCTATTTATTATACAACTGAGATCGATACCTATTGTAATAGAAATCAAGGGGCATGGACATATTTTTTTTTATTAAAATATAGCGACTTGCGTTTTATAACACAAAAGTGTTAACTACACCGTTTAGCGACAAAGCAGGATCAGTTTGCTTGAAAAACGAAGCTATAAGCTAAAAGTGAGATATTATCAGTAGTCTCTGGAGGCATTTATCGGGAATCAAGCCTTGAACCATATAATCAGGTGCTCAAAACAGCGGAACGGTTTAGCCAACTTATAAAGGTTACATTACCAAAGGTCTCTTATAACCTGAAGACAACTCTTGAACTCTTATGATCACAAATGTGAAAATCCCCTTTTTATTTTTTCTTTCCACCTGCCTTCGAGTAATTACCTAGTTGCTTAAATACAGTTTGACCAGAGTCAGAAGTAGTCTTACCTACGAAATCTGCTTCAGAATCTAGAATGCACGATTATTATGAAGGCAATATTTGTATTAAGCTTGCGGCTAGCTGACTGTTTAGCCAAATAATTAAAACTAAATGTAGTTTTCGCCTAATATAGATATTCTGCCTTTTCAAGCCATTAAATGAAACTATGCAATTAGTCATGTTAACGTAAGTACATAAGCTATGTGTGAAAAATTGCTATTAAAATAGTTAGGTGTAATTGTGGTTTGGTGTGTGTTAAAGTACTTACTAATCTAAAAACATTATTTTTAAGATTATTTGTTTCAATTTCATTTTAGGTGATTGAATTATTAGTGCCTTATTAATATCGGTGTTATCTATGTTAAATATCTTGTGAAACATTACAAAATGATGTCAAAAATATAATATAGGTACATTTTGTCTTTTATATATTTTAAGGGATGGTGAGTTTGTTAGAGTGTATGTTTTTTTTCTATCAACTACATTTCGGATGGGGTTAGTCCAGTCAAATAGAATTAAGTGAGATGTCAAGTAGAGTCGTATAGTAATAGTCATGTTTGGTTTTAAGATATAAGTTATGAAAAGTAGTATGAAAGTCAGAGTCAGAATAAGTCACAGTTGTCAACTTTCCATTAAAATAAGCAGACATTAACGAAACATCTTTTATTTTCCTTCACACATCTTTCTATTGCTATCTTGGTATCACACTGTAACGGACATCGCACTTAATTTTGCATTAAGCTCTGCAATTTAAAAATTTACTAACTACTGCTGTAAACTATATGGAATCGTGTTTTCAATTTTGTGTCATTAAATTTTTCAGTAATACACAGAATTGCAAGCATTCGTACGCACATATCGTATTAACATTCAATAAATAAGTACTAACGGAATCAAAACTATAAGAAGGAACCAAATTGTAGAAAGATTTTAAAAAATGTAGTATAAAAAAGTTAACGATAACAATAAAACTGTGTTGTTGTAAAAAAATATTAGCTAGTTTAACAAAAAATATTTACACTTAGAGAAACTTAAAACTATGGCTACAGTTAGAATAGGCTCCAAAGTTATTGAAAAATAAATATTGTACAGTAACAAAAAGCTTTTTGAAAAGATGAAGTCCTATTCTAACAATAGCCAAAATAATTAGTTCTTAAACTTTTTTTTTATTCAGTTTACTGAAACAGGAACATTTCCAAACGAACTTTGTAAATGCTTTGAAATGTCAATATCGTTTTTAGCGGGAAAACTGCGTCGATACGCAATTGCGCATCTTTTTGCTGCAATGTTCTGCGCTAAAGTAAACTGAATGAAAAAGGTAAGTTCTTTAGAACATTTTCGCCTAAAACCTTATTGCTACTAGTGGTGGTAGTCCGACTGAATAGTGTAGTATTCTTGTTTGGGGTGTTGCTGGTGCTGCTGTTCCTGCGGTGGTGCTTGTTTGTACTCCTCGTATGCCGTACCTTCGTGGGACGCATCCGCGTGTTTATGGCCGAGACCAGCCGCCGCTGCCTTCGCTGCGGCCTCCGCTGCGTTAGCCTGGGCCGCTTGAGCAGCCGCCTGTTGACATTTTTACAATTAAATATTTGACTATACAAGCAGTGTAATTTTCTTACTATTAATAAGTAGGTACCTCTACCACCTTAACTGCTTGTTTCGCAGGTACTAAACTAAATTTTCTTAATAAGAAGAGACACTATACTTTAATTGATTGCAAGCATCTAAAAGGCCAACAAGATTTTCTAAATTTTAAATAGGTACTTGGAAGATTATAAAGTACTCTGTGAAAGTGTGGCAAGAGCAAAAAGAAGTACGTCGTTGTCAATTGCTTCATAAGTTAAAAGTACATCATTGAAATAGGGATATCAAGGAAAAACGAAAAAATAATACAGCCGTACTAAATAATTTAAGCTTAATATATTCGTTTGTTTATATGTAGTACTTGGCATCTGTACCTACAGACTAGCTAGGTATTAGAAGAACAGAGAGATCTTTATATCTTCGATCAAGTACAGCTTGCTCGTGTTGATCGCTTCCTGTTCGAGAAAAACAAGAAATTTTAATTCTCTTCTTATGAAAACTGTTCATACACAAACCTACAGTCTCTCTGGCAGTTTCATTACTATTCATTAATGAACGGGCCTTATCTATAAACAGAACCACGTAAGAAGAACTTGTCTTAATCCGCCACATAGGTCTAGCACGAATTGGTAGGTAGGTGCTAAAAACTACAGATGTAAACGGGACCAACAGCTTTGTGAATTTTTAGTCACTCAACCAATGACGAGTCTTTATGAAAGCTGCATAGCATCCACAACCGTTGGTCAAGCTCTCTAATTACAAGATGCCTATCATCATCATCATCAGCCTATTAATGCCCACTGCTAGGGCACAAGCCTTCCCTATGGATGGAATAGGGAGATGTGATGTTAAAGAAAAATTACGATCAACAGTGAACTTCGTGCCAATAATCCTTCGCAAAGAAAATCGTCTCTTGAAAATCTGCATTCGTACCTGCGCCTTTCTAGCCGCAGCCTGGGTGGCCTCGAAGTCGATCCTGACTCCCTTGAGCTGCTCCTGCAGAGTATGCAGCCGTTGTCTGGCAGCGCCCACCATGGCGGTCTGTGCACCGAGCTCTCCTGCTGCTTGGGAAGCGGCTTCGTTTGCGTTTTCGGAGGTGGCTTGCGCGGCGTTCAAAGCTGCTTGGATCACGTTGACCTTGAAGAAAAAATAATAATTATAGATGTGTCCTTTAAAAAACTCATACACAATAAATCAGCATAAAATGAGAACATATTATTTAGAGTATTTTTAATGATATACGAACAGTTTTATTTCGATTGTTGTAATCTAATGATGAATAATGTCACATACCTAAGTTGAATAATGGCTTGTGGAAAGTACATCAACGTTAGTTAATTTATATGTGGGGGAAAATATACGTATTATGTTATCAAGCCAACCACAAGGTGTGAAAGGAAAAGCTGTTATTGCAACCCTGTGAGAGATGTGTATCAGATTACAAGATCCAATCTCAATGTTTACGAGATGTTAACATAAGACTTGAATATTTATCCCTGAGATTTATGAGACTCTACAGACCACAAACTTTCTGTCGGCCGATAGTATAGTCGTAATATTAATAATGTTACGCTTAGGACACACCTAATCCGTTATCGGCCGAACTATGCTCGGGTGTCGACTGCCAATTTCGGCCGATCACCCCACGCCGATCATTATGCGCTACCTCGGGCAGAAAATGTCGGAAATCGACATCCATTTGCAATCAGACGGTAACAATTTGTGGTCTGAGGAGACTTATGCTTCATCTACACCTATGCGACGAAGTTTTGATGTCGTAGTGAATTAGCGGGCTATAAACGCTAGACGATAGCTTGAATGGCGATAATTTAACACGCTAAAAGAGGTTGTGGAAAACGATAATTCTGAAGGTACGCTAATTTTAGTACCAAAGTCAAAGAGGTGTGGGACAAGCATTTTTTAAGATTTTTGAGTTCTTGTCAGTTGAAGAAGATGAAATAGAGATTCGAGCAATAAACTTAATGAATGATTAAATTTAATGAAGATTCTTTGGCCATAAGTGTTCAATAGATGTCACAACAGTAATTGCATTACATAATTTATAAATAAATGTATTTTACAATATTATACCTACATAAGTTTTATGCCTTTAAATGTAATAAGTATAACACTAATAAAAAGTTCAGAAATTATGTCATTGCGATTACAACAAATTATAACAGTTACAGTTCCGTAGTAGGTACATTTTCTATAAAGTTTCCGTAATAATAATACAATAAAAGAAAATCATCGTGACTAGGCACCGTGACACCCAAACAAAGATTTTGGTACTACTGTTACCAAAGAAGCTACATAGAAAAAAAGTGTGATAGTCATCCTATTAATATTTATCTCAATCTTATTTCAAAATGGAAACGCATAGTTCTGGTCTGTACTTAATGACTAGGGTGCAATCAATAGTGAATGCTATTTCCAAAGATCGACCACCGGACATGGATTTTCAACTTTATTATTTATACTCAATTGAGTGTTTGGTAATGTGCCGACGAAATCGATTTGCTACGAATTAGTATCTCCAACCGTAGCTAATAAAGTTTAACCAACGTATAATGGAAAACGTGCTTATTTCTTGTTTTTTTTTGTAACGTTTTATCAAATTGTTGCGCTGCGATTGTTGACACAATTTCGAATGAATATAATTAGGTTACTCTTGAATGTAGTTCAATAGGCTTATTTGAATAGAGTGCATTTATTATTACACAACCTAGGCTGTACGTTACCTTTATCTATGTTATTAATAAAAAAATAACAATGTTGAAAAATGAAAACCTTTTGGCGCTATTTTTATGACACATATCTTTTTAAAACTTTGATGATAATGACTTGCCTTATTAATATTACTAAATTGATTGATAAAGAATATTTTTTTAATGCAACCTACCGATTTTTATTATTTTACAGTAATACAGCAGTTCAAGATGTAAGAAATTTAAATGACGGTCGGTGCTTTTGTAAAGTGTTGGTGTTACTTAGATACTAAAAATTTTAGATTTTTGTACAAAAGTGGTTGTGCGTATAAACGTTATTATTTTTTCTTTCATTTTCAACATGCAATGATTTTAATTTGAAACCATCAAAATATAAAATAAATAACTTTTTAGAGCTTTCGAAAGTTTTCTCTGTGCGTTTTCTGTTGTTTTTAAAAGAATAATTCACTTCTATACCGATAGACAATTAATAAATCACCGAATAGCAAAATGAGATTGCCTATTTCATGAGCATTCTGTCAGTGTTGTGACGACTGACAAAAAAGTTAGTTTTAAAGCAACAAATCGAAATGATTTCGCGCCTCGCCGCCGGCACCAGATCGAGCTGGCCTAATTACGTAAATAATTATTTCTAGCCAATATCTCTCCACCCATTCTTGTTTGTTTTGTAAATTTTCATCATCCACTCCCAAGTGGAACGTTTACGTAACGTTAGTTAGTTGAACATTGCAATTTTCCAACTTAAGATTTTAAAGTCAGAGGTTGCAGCAAAAAAAGTTCAGTGTTTCTTTTTAAATATGCAACTTCGCAGAATGAGTTCATTGTCAACACTTTTTACTTATCAGCCTTGCGTATAACTTGCTTTATTGTTGTAAGATAAAATAAATAGTTTAACGTGCACTTACGTTGAGAAATTTACATTTTCTATAGACCTTATAGGTAGATCATTTCTTGATTTCGTAAGGTTATTAAAACGAGAATGACTCGCGTCTTTTGTTTATTGATTTGAATAAAATTGATATTTTATTGAACTCGAGTGAGAACTTTTTCCTTTTTCGGTAGAATCAGAATCAGCTGTAAGCAGTTAAGCAACATTCGAATTGATAATATAATTTAATTTTGTAACATACATAATGAACAGTTAGTTATGTATTACTTTGAAATTATGTAATTATTTTCTTTTTTATTTACGAGTACTATGTCATTGATATACGATTGAGACGAAAGCTCGAGTATCGGTATTTTATGTGAAGATGTTCAATTTATCTAGATTTATTATTATCAATTGAAATAAGTTTAATATAGTGGAGTTATAATAAAGTAATTAGCATTAATCCTACAATTACTAACCTTGGTCTTTTTTTCTAATTAGAGCTCTTCGTCTTCTTCATAGTCTGTGCTTTTTCTTTTATTTTTTAAACAATTAACTCCATTCGACGCATAGAGGTTTCTTTAACATGTAGGTTGTATAATAAACTCTTTAGTGTAAGATTGAAAGATCAACTATGCTAAATAGGTTTATTTTGCATTTCTCACCTGGTGCATAGCTTGTTGAGCAGCCTGAGCGGCCGCCTGTGCAGCTCGCTTAGCTTGCTGCAGCTGCATCTCCTCTCCCTGCAGTCCAACCTTCGCGTCTCTCACTTGCTGCTCCAATCCTGACAAGATCACCTGTTTGCCGGCAAGCGCTGCCTGCGCTGTGGCACTGGCCTGCGCCGCTGACTGAGCTAGCGTATTCTTCGCCATATAAGCAGCTTGGTAACCGGCAGCGGCTTGGTTCCCTAGCGCTGTTTTCGCTTGATTCGCTGAGCCGACAGCAATGGTTCTTAGACCACTGCCTCTACTGAAACCCTTCTTCGGCGGGTCTCCGCTAGCGGCGGCTTGGACGTCTGATATGTAGGCGTCGTAATGGCTAGCGGATTCTTGAGGCTCTTGCGCTTGCTGCTGGGGGGCACTTTCATAGTCATATTCGTATTCGGAGGCCTGTGCTGAGCTATCCCGATTGGTTGGGGCTGCTGATGCGATGGAGAGAGTGCCTGTGAAGAGATTACTTGAATGAAGATTTCGTATAAGGAAAAACGTTATAATCTTATCACAAAGGCTGAATGGTTAGCGACTTTTGTCACGAAATCTGAAGTTGAAGATTTTCATTCCCAAGTTATTTCTATAATACAAATTGAAGGACAGCATTATTTTATAAATATTAATTTATATTCAACTGTTTACATTTTCCAATGAATATTTGAAAGCGGGAAAAAATTAGTCTACTTATACCTATCAGCCAATTTTTATTTCAAATGTTTGTAACTTGTGGGCACAGCTTGTCTTCACAAAAATTACGAGTATGTTACCTTCACTTACTCCATTATGTACTATGTTATGATAACGGTGCTAATTTGTGCCAATGTTATTAAACATTATCTAACCGATCGATAAATTAAAATTGCTCGCATGATGAAAGAAAGAGGAAAAAACTTACTTCCGAATTGAGCACTTAACTTATGTTACGCACATTATGCGTGTTCGATACGAATCGTTGAATATTTATTTTACTTATTGTGGTAAGTAGACATGTGAATATGTTTTGGAATTGATTGATTGGTTTTACTACAGTTAAATAACATTTATTTACGCAAAGAATGTCGATCATTCATCCTAAGCGAAATGTCTGCGGTCTTAATAGATTTATTTGCATTTTATTTTTTTCCATATTGTCAAGTTACATGAATATTTTATTGAAATAATACATAACAAATAATTTATAAAAAGTTCTATCCAAAATAAACTTGCTCTTGCACAGAGTTACATTAGCTACTGTCATTCACAAAAAACATCCTCGCTAAAAGATAAGCTTGAAATGAAAACTTAGATATTTTAAAACAACGGTTAGTTTGAAATGAAATGAAATTTATTTATTCACACAAAACAGAGTAGATAGGATGATGGGAGACTTGATGGGATGATAGCTGTGATAAGACGATATTCGGGCCATAAGATATTTTAGAAATTATGGTATTTCGAGTGAGCTTATAAGAACTAATAATATTAACCTTATTGGGTTATATATTTACAAGAACTACTTTAAGAAATTAGTTGCTACGTGCCCAAATTTTGTTAACTGCACTAGGCTAAGAGCGAGGCATCCCAACACAAGTATTAATTATTACTTTCTGGGTTGTCTCAACTTCTACTGTAAACTGACTCTTTGGGAAATAAAAACCATTTTCATTTTTTTCATGTAATTCTGCCCATCTAAGTTGATTCATGTGTGATGAAAAAAGATGTGATGACCTATTCAGTATCCTAAACATTTATTAATATTTTAAATGCACTTAGATTATCTTCTTAGTCTAGTAATGTTAATTATCTCAAATAACTAATTCATAAGAGGTTTAATATTTTCCTTCTATCTATTATTATAATTTGATTGTTTGTTAGACTTTTCATTTTTTTGATTTCTTTTCTTTTTACTGTTGTATAGAGAAGAAAATAATTAAAATCGGTGTATATTTTTCTTCAGATTAGCAATCAAGCCGAGTCACTTATTATTAATTTAATGATTTTATCTTACTTGTTTCAAACTTATATTAAATTAAATTAGTTAGAATTATTTTTAAAAACTAAACTTACCGATGCACAATAGAACTGTCCTAAAGGTCTTCATGTTTCTTCAGTCGAACTGAAATCACAGCATCAACGATTAATTAACACTTAACAAATAATAAAAAGGCAATTGTATAAAAAAAATAATTATTTGAGTGGAGAAAAAAATATTAGCTCAAGGTAAGAACACTGGGAATGGGCACTTGTAATCACTATGTCAAAATATTTTCTAACCTTCCAGAACTTTCACAAAAGCTTAATGAGTTTGGCTTAGGTCGCTGGGGTGTTGGGCCCCTTGGCTCGTTAGTGAGGTAATGTACTGACTGACAGCTGCTACTTGTATTTATAGCGAATGGAACGAAGACCGCGGCGATTGGGCACTCCAGATTTCTATAGAGCTGCTCTACATAGGCGCGATAGGAAATCACGACTTTATGAATGAAACCAATAAGAATTAGAAGAAGATTCACGAATTGTTGCTTCTGTCTATTTGTGAATGGGTCGGCGGTGACTGTTATGCGCGAAATTTCATGCTGAAAACTTCTTGGTAATATTTTCTTTTTGTAGTTAAGATCTTCGTTTTTCTGACCGAAATATTATAATTATTAAAACAGACATCTATTAGGGAGATATACACGAATCTTTAAATAGTGATTGCGACTACGTGCAATATCAACAGATATTATAAAATCTGAATGAGAAGATAAAATTTTAATCAAATTATCTGAAAGATCTCAATCAATATCCATCGTGTGACTATTTACAAATAAGCATTTAAGTATATTTAAAATATGTACCACATGTTTTTATTAAATTTAGACATTAAGTTTTTGTTATTTAAAATTAATTGTATCTGAAATTATATATCATAATTAAATCTTTTACTAACACATCTTTTATAGTCTGTTTAATTTGTACCGCTTTTAATAGTCGTGTAAGGCTTATAATTGCATTATTTTCTAAATCCCCTTCTCTAACTAATCAGCAAATATCAGCTCCTAGAAATTCTATAAGATTCAATGTCGGCCTAGAGTGAGTCAATTGTCGTCGTCATTATTTTAAAAATCTACTAATGTATTTCATTATTCAGGGTAGGTACTAGTCCACGTGAAAGCAGGCCACCTTTACAATGAACTGATTTACAACTGTGTCATTGAAGGACCTATATGCAAATATATTGTAATATCCATAAGATATATCTGTTAATTCACATTATCAATAAAGTCCCAACTCCCAAGCAATATTCAGATGTCAATTCTAAATAAATTCTAATTATATTAAAAAGTGTCTGATTATGCTTATCAACTATTCCAATTGGTTTAACGTTTTAGCAGAGGTAGGGCACAGTTGATTTTCCGTTCGAATCCGATCGCCCGCCTGGGGAAGCAACCTTAATCTTTCAAAAGACCACATTAAAATAGCACTGCCTTTTGTTGTATTTTGTTTCTGCCGGACTTCGCGGAATAGGTGATTGAGTTCAGGCCGGCAAGGTGAGGATGGCTGGAGCGGTACACTTTCTGCCGCATCACCTATCTTCGCGAATAGACTCCACTTACACTTAACATCAAGTGGGTTAGGGTAATTTGTTGCGCCTCTTATAAAAAAACTTCTTCGTCTTTTTTATATGAAGATATAATTATTCATGTATTGGCAGTGTAACGACATATTATAGCTATCTTGTGTCTTGCTATTTTTAAGGTAGGTGTTGGATATTTTCCCTCACAAAAAAAATCGTTAAAAGATGGTGACAAAAAACATTTGGGTGATTGAAAGAGTTCGACTTTGATCTTACTCTTTGCGACCTTTCCGTCAATCTTTAACCCGCAAGGAAAATAAATTATGATGATATACATGTTATATTTAAGCATGTATATACATTAAGTCGTATTAACCACACAAATAAACTAAATAGGTGTTACGGAAAGGAAGACTTGAGTGTCCGTCTTTAAAAAACCTTAATCTTACAGAAAATTACAGTAAGTTACATTTCTTTTCGGAGATATTGTGCAGTAAATAACACTACTTCTTTGATGTATTATTAATAATAATAATATTCTTCATTGCAAACAACAAACGACACAAGACATAAAGTTATAAAAAAAGAAGAAAAGTATACAATAGGCGGCCTTAGTGCTAAACAGCAATCTCTTCCAGGCAATTTATGGTGGAAAAGGAATAATGATAGTGAAATATAGAAGGTTGCAAAAGTAGATACGGAATGAAAAATGAATTGAAGATAAGGAAGGGAAATAGCTTTTAACTTGATCGCTAAAGGAAGTGTACCAGCAAAGGCTAGGTTTATAGGATGATATCTGTAATAAGTCGATATTCAGGCCATAAGATTTTAGAAATTATGGTAATGCTTGTTTGTGCTTATAAGAACTTTTAATATTAAACTAATTGGATTATGTTTATAATTATTGTTTCTGATGGTGTGTAGGGTCCATGTTTTATGCCCACATGGAGAGAAAATTTCACGACTGGACTCCACCTACACTTAACATCAGGGGCTGGCAATTTATTTTTACCTCATACAAATACATTTCTTTTGGCATTCTTCTTTTCTTTGGCACCAGTCATCATTAAAAAGATAGTATTAAATTTTCTACGCTTTTTATGAGAACCGATGCACGAAAAAGGTTTGATAAACCTTTTACAGGTAGGTACCTTTTACACCCCAGTAGGGGCTCAATACATGAATATTAGAATGATAATAAAATATCATTTATAAGCTTAAATTTGTGAATTATACGTCAACTCAGAGAGTATGTGTATTTATATGTGTATGTGTGTAAAATAAATTATAAAAAACTGCCAGACGGTATTAGCATCTCTATGTAGTTCTAGTGCAGTTGCCGCCTACGGCGCTAATAAAACCTCTGAAGTCATACTGATCGAATTATATAACGGTTCATGAAAGGTCGTGTTGCCACTGTCTTCTATTCATATACATATTTACAATTAAGATAAATCTTTTTCTTGCACAAACGACCCTGAGTTTGATTTCCGGCGAGGAAAAAAATATAAATTGCATGTTAGTCCACTACAATAACTATTTATTTACCTACACAACAATGCATGATTTCGAAACTTAAAAAAATATAACGCCAGAACGAATAGAAAATTTTGTGAAAAGGAACTTTTTTGTTGCTAGCTAGAAAATTTAAAAATATTCAAAGTTACTAAAGTTGTTGCATAAATTATTTTTTGCAGTAGGTAGGTATACATTTTTTGTGCGACACTTTAACTACGATTGTTTACTTACTATTACTACACAAGCACATCGACCCGAAGTGCATTTTAGTGAATTAATTACTACTTTTTCACTTTGTGTATTATAACTTTTAACAATGTCCTGGGTGTCATCATTATTATTATTATCGTGTCCCGACTGCATTACTCTACGAAGGAAGAGGAGATCGTAGAGTACCTGCGAGTGAAGACGAAGTTCTCCCTGAGGGTCGCACGGTTGGAGTCCCGTCACAATGTGAATTTTAATTCATTTGTGGTGAGGGTGGTTCGACCGAACATCCATCCATCCATCCATCCATCAGCCTTTCTCCGCGTCCACTGCTGGACATAGGCCTCCCCCATAGAACGCCACAATGCGCGGTCCTGCGCTATCCGCATCCAGCGGCTCCCAGCACATTTGACGATATCGTCAGTCCACCTTGTTGGGGGCCGTCGTCCGGTATGTGGTCGCCACTCGAGGACCTTTCTTACCCAACGGTTGTCAGATCTTCGAGCGATGTGACCGACCGAACATCTAGCGACTTTTATGAAAGAAGAACTTTGGCCGAAAGGTGTGGTGTTCCGGCGATTCCGAGGCCGGTTACCTGATACCGCTATGCGTCACACGTTGCCGTCTATACGTGTTAATTGGATGTTTACTAACATAGGTACTTATTTTATTTACTAACAACAATGTTTTTATATCTGTATATATGTTAGACTATAAGGAATTTATCAAAATTCAAAAAATTCAAAATTCAATATCGTTTATTCAGTCTAGGCTGTTACAAGCACTTGTGAATGTCGAAAAGCTACGCCATCGGTTCGCAAATCTACGGCGGGAGACCTTGTACTGAGAAGAACCGGCAAGAAACTCAGCAAGGGCTGTTTTTTTCTCCCTGTATTGTATACAGAGTCGTCAAATTGAAAAATGACTTCAATATGAAGTAACTCATAAAGTCACTTTCCATTACAAATGCTATATAATAAAAATTATGACTATATAAAAAACTGGTTTAACAAAGTTTAGGAATGCCGTGTCCTGCTGTTTAGGCAAAAAAAAATGAACGATTAAAGTTTAGTACAACGGTTAATAGTATCCAATGAAGCAAGAGCAGACTCATCTCCGCTGGCAGCACCCGTTCACGAGCATGACGCTGAACCAGCCATCGCTTCGCTCAACCATATTTTAGGGAACGCAACGACCCGCCTCACACGACACCGCCGAAGAGATTTTTAAGAGAGCATGACTACCCATAACCACTCAAACCATACAAACATATCTATGGGCCTATGTAGCCTGATCATAAATAAATAAATTATTTAAACTGTTCGAATAATGGTTCGTGCTAGAGGTACAGGTCATGAATCATGAGACCAAGAGTTGCCTAAGCTCGAAATAGTAAATAAGGAAGAGAGGTAGGTCATAGCGGATTTTCCGCTCGAATTGGAGCGCCCGTCTGGGGAAGTAGCCTCCTCCTTACAGAAGACCACAGTAAAATGACACTACCTTTTAGTGGTGGTGTTTTTCTGTCAGTGAGAAAGGTTCTAGGGCTCCACGGGATAAGGGATTGGGTTAGGATAGGCACGGTGTGAATGATATCTTGGTACCACAAGTGTCTATGTAGGCTATGGTGGCCAGGTGGGAAATACGCTTGTTTGCGTCCCTTTTAGCAAATAATACCCAACCTATAACCAGCAATAGGCTAGTTGACTCATGTCGAATATAAAATAAATATATCGATTTCACTTCATAAAAGCAGAAGATTGCTGTAGAAATTTAATTCTAATAAATAATTTTTAGTCTATACTTTTTAAACACTAAAAACGCTGTTCGCCTCATCCGCCATGATTGTGACGTCTCTTTGGTAGTAAACAACCAAATGTCATTCGCGTGTTACTGCGGGTGGATTCTTTCGTCTGACTAAATTTATCTAACACTTTTAACAATTTTCCATGTCGTTTTCAACTGAAAGATATGTAACGTAAAAATTTTAATATTTATTTTGCTCATTGATATAGTACATACATAACCTTAAAACTCGTATTATTAAAACTGATACTAAATGAAGAGACTGGAAATATTATTCAATGAGTACTTACATCAAAGTGATCTTCGCAAAAATAAATTTTACTATGAGTCGATAAAGTTGCAGGATCCCTATTAGCAAGTTCTAACCAGGTATTGCGTAGGTTAATTTCTTTCGGCACTTACATCCACATCTTTCCTGGAGTATTCAAAGATGTGTTTTTACATTCTCGTAGAATACAATAATGATAATTACTATATTTGTCGTGGT